CTTTCTATATCATAACACATTGATATTCGTCTATCGAAGATGACGAATCAGGACAAATTTTTGTCATCATGAGCGGCAAAATTCTGTCACAGGATAGAAGATGGTCACTGGCTAGAAAACTGATCTTTGAAGAGGACATTGGATCAGTGGCTATGATCTAATGAAAGATTATAAAAGAGTTAGTGGTAAGACAAGTAAAAGAAGAGTATTTTTACCACCTGCATTATTAAAATTGTAATTTATATTGTGTCCATTTCCCAGGATTTATTGATACTGATATGACGTCAGGGGTGAGTGAAGCCGTGGTAACACAGTCGGTACCACTACAGAGACTGGGAACACCTGCGGAGGTCGCTACAGCTGTCAGATTCCTCGCATATTCGACTTACATTACAGGAACTGTAAGTATGCCATATCCTCGTTTTTCAGATTTTCATGGAACGTGTACTGGCTTCTGCAAAGATAAACATTAATATGCATTTGCTTTGCAAATGTTACCTTTGTAATTATCTTGTTGTTTTTCTTCAGGTTCTGGTTGTAGATGGTGGGATGCAGTTGAACACATGAGACTTCAAGAGCCCAATACAGGATAATCTAATTATTTCTAAACCAAGAAATGTATATGGACCAAACTACTACAATCAGAATTCAGCTGCAGCCCAGGAGAAGACAGTGACCAAATATCATAGAGACTTGAGGATGATGTCTAAATAAAACCAAAGTTGATGGTTTGACTAAGATTCTTCCTGCTTCCTTGTTTTTTAATGTCAATTGTAACAATTATTGTAACTTGATTTCAAATCTCAATTTTTGCAGATTATATTACAGTATAAGTATTATTATCTAATGGTATTACATGTTGTATCCCAGTGTATATCCTGACCCTTCTCCATAGTCAATACTGTACAGTCCCCTTACCCCTTACTGCACAGACACTACTCCACAATCAATACTGTACAATCCCCAACCCCTACTGCACACTACTTAGTATATAAACATGCTGACTTTGTTGAGACCTTCCAGCCAAAACAGCTTGTTGTTTGCCCCGTCAGTGGGTAGCAAACCTTTGCATCTGGCGGGCAGGCCTTTGAAGTTGGGTGGGTCGACTAAAACAAAGGACACTCTGTTCAATCCAATGGATTGTCCACTTGACTTGCCTTATGTTGTCTTTTCAGCTTGTCCAAGTGCTATTCTAACTTGTAAGAACAAAACAGCTAGGATAATGTGGTCAGATATGTTGTTGTTGATGTTGAAAGGGGGCCTGCATGCCCTTTTTTGTAAGGCGTAATCAGCCCTTTTTAATCTTCATAATCCGTAGGCAGCCTCCCAAAAAGATCAACATAATTTGAGATAGTACATTAACTGCAAAGCGTCAAGTCGTAATCAGCTCTGAGAATTTAATGTAATTTGTAATCGGCGGCGAAAATTTTGCGTAATTCGTTAAATCACTACCCCCCATGCAGGCCCTCTTGAAAAACACAGTTTGATTGGTGATTGTTTGTTTCTTATTTCAATCAAACTTGAAATCTTGAAAACTAGATGTTTGGCATTGCCTGGATGCATAGGACAGAAGATTTCTAGGAGGAAATTTATTGTTAATAAAGATTTTCTTCACCACATATGATGTACTGTAGACATGATGCCATATGAAGTATCACTGTCAGGTCCGGTTAAGTACACACGTGTGCCACTTGGAGAAAGAGCAGTGTTTATTTTGAAAACAACAGAAGTTGTTTGTGGGAAGAGAAAACATTGTTTAAGTTCTCAGTTTACTCTACATGGTGGAGGTCAGGCCAAGACTTGGTGTCGTTTTTCATTTTTGACATCCTAGCTAGTAATGAGTAACAATTCTTTACAGCTTTGGGATATGAAATTCTTATAGAAAAGTGTCTTTCATTGGCCATTACATAACTACCTTCATCAGTTACTGGGGTCTAGGGTATGTAAAGATGTATAACGTTAATGTGGGTATACAGTGCCATACAGTGTCCACTGTTGTCGATTTTTGGAGATGGAAAAAGACAATAGAAAACCAAGGAAAGGAACAAGGAAAAGAAGAGAAGAGAAAACCACCACTGAAAAGGTAACCGATTGGAAAAAGTACGGAGAGACTAGTAGAGCTGGAAGAGAGAATGCACACAAGGAAGCAGCAGACAAGCACATGTGATCGCCACCATCGGACTGGAGAGCGGAGGAATAGAGACAACAACACTGTCAGGTGTTGACTTCATATTAATTGTCACAACCGCTTGAGGAGAATTCTTGTCAACATTGACACCTTGACATAGGAAAATGTGCTGAGGCTGGTTAAGGTCACTGTTCAACAGCATGTACAAATGTACAGCACAGTAGTTTTTGCTTAGTTTATACGTTCGAATTATGAATGCCATGGCATGAAATTGAAATTGTAAATGTGCACAATTTATGCTCTCAAACGGTGACAAACACCGTTGATATATCAAAACGCAAACTTGTTATGTTTACCTTCGCAGAAGGAAAACATATTGTTTTTGCTCAGTTTCTTCTCCAAACACATAAGGTCAATGATCTGAACGTCTGTCACCATGGTAGCTAGTGTTGGGCTACAACATGTTGCAATTTTATGGCAGGAGGGATTTAGAATCCTGTCACCATATATATGAATGTGTTTGAGTAAGAATTAACAGAGAAGACCACATGCGAAGGCAAACATTTTGCATTTACTTTGCAAATGTTATATGGTATGTTGAAATGGAACGCACCAGGCGTTTGCGCGAGAAAATAAAAAGCACTAAAGCTTGTACTGATGAGCGTCAGCCATGCGTACAAAGTCCACGGAATAGTGACGTCTGCACATTAATTTAATGCCTGTACACCTGCCAGTACGTAATGACCGTAAGTTCGTGCCGGTGTGAAACAAACAAGCCCGAACAATAGCGTCGTATTACCGCCCCTTTCACCGTCCATTGTACCAGTGGGCGGTTCCCTCTTACCTTCAGGTGGAGTGATGTTAGTAGGTCTGAATTAACGCCGACCAACAGGTAAGTAGTGTATATCTCTGGGCATATTCAACAGTTTGTAAATGCCATTCTGGTTTAAAATAATCCGACTTTATCGTAGTTACAAACAGTGCGTGGGCATAAATGTTTTCGTCAATTATGAAATGTAAACGTAGTTGTTTCCCCAGCCAGTGTTATCGTTAGAGTTTATCACCTGTTCATGTTCAAGAGTAGATCTACACAAATCCAGGTTTGGCCAGTCTCTAATTTCATCGCATTTCTGTCGATGACTTAGCCTGGCTTACTACTAGGTTAATTATTTGCAAGCATGGTTGCCCTCAGCAAAACGCAGTATTGACTATTATATACAATAGTTCACATTACTTAATACTTCATGGAGTCGCCCTAAGCATATTGTTTTGCTCTGTTTCCGCCTATTCTTCTTCTCCTCCTCCAAACCAATAAGGTCAATGGCCTGAACCAGACGTCTGTCACCATGGTAGTGTTGGCATTGGTTACATCATGTTACAGTTTTATAGCAAGAGGGATTTAGACTCCTGTCTGGCCATATATATACACATGAATGTGTTTGAGTAAGAATTAACAGAGCAGACCATATGCGAAGGTAAACATTACGCATTTGCTTTGCAAATGTTACCTTTCTAGTGTTTGTTATGGAGTGTGTTTCTGCAGTCTAATGATGCATACTAGTATGTTCCACGTATACGTAGGTTTTATATACGACGTGCAGTTAGAGCGTCTCCGTATTTGCTGGAGGGGTATATGAGAATATCAGACAGGATGTCTTACTCAGGCACTGATCTTGATGTTACGTATACGACATTTACGTTAAAGGCATCCAATGCAAATTCACGGTAGCAAAATAAAAAGAATATATATTTTCTGGCTGAGGAAATTTGTCTAATACTGACCTTTAATGTCATTTCCTAGCACGTTTTCGTCATCATTTCACACCCAGTATTTGAAATAGCCCATATAAAAACAAGCTACATGAGGCGTCTCTTTATTTTCTGGGTACCGCCCATGAAATTAATAAAGTGACATCGCAATTTTGTCTCAGATATCAATATGCTATGGAATAGGATTGATTCACCTTACCCTTAAAGAAGAAGGGTCAGAAAATTGTCTTCGAGTCACTTTTGCCGCCAGGAAATCGCAATGGATGCCTTAAAACAGATACCTTGAAGAGGGTATCATATTATGAGAAACCACACACCCATAAATGACAAGTCCCCCTATTTAGAATAGGCGCATGTCATGGTGGTGATGACAAAGCTTTTGTTATTTGGTACGCGTGTTTGTCGAGTGTTCGCCTGGTGCTATCAACGTCAAGACGCCATCTGTCGTCTGTACGGGCTGTTTTACAGCACGGGGTCGTAAAGCGAAGAATGGCACCTATGGGCACTTAATGTAGATAGATTGATTTTGCTGTCTATTACTTATAGGTATGACTTTCCACATAGACTGGTTCGACTAAGGAACACACATTGCTGCATACACAATGTGAAAGAACACACCCTGCTTAATAATACACAGTCTATAGCCCACTTGCTTATATTCGAAGATTCTTTCAATGCAAGGTCAATTCATTTTGATCTCTTTTGTAAGCATGTCGTCTAGATCTGAGCTTAGTCACTCTTGATTCTAGCTTTCGAGTTGGATGTAAAAGATAAGATGATATCGATGTTTAATTTGCAGGTTATAAGGTTAAGATGATCAGGCAGCAGGGTAACAGTACGGCTTGAACTTCAAGACCGATCAAACATACTACTGTACTAGTATATAGACGGTCCATGGTCAATATTTACCTTCCCTTGCGAAGGGATACAACCTTTTCCGGAACAAGCACGTTTGACGAAAAGCAAGCAAGTTTGATCAACGGTTATAGAGCTGTTATTAGGCTGTCTCAACATGATTTGCAGACGTTGCCAGATATACACAAGTCACAAAAGCACCGCATTCGAAGCGTGACTTCCTTTTTCATATTTCAACTGGCAAAGTTCCTTTCGACACTGGGAATACATTCACACTTCACATTACTGACATACTACATTCACAGCTAAGACGAAAAGGATCCGAAGTGATGCCTGTTACAGCTTATGCTCTTTAACAAACCGCGTTAGAGAGGTACTCTCCAAGCAGAGGTTTTGGGGTTTGCTTTATTTTTGGCGTGTTTTAGGCTTTTTTAAACTTATGTTTTGCACCGGTATCTTTTTTTAGGCCAACCCAACGCGTCAAAAAAAGATACCAGTGCAAAAAAGAAATCCCGTTAAAAAGCCCCAAACACGTCCAAAATCCAAAATAAACCAAAACCCAAACCTCTGCTCGGCGAGTATTAGAGAGGACTTGTGTGGGACTGCGTGCAACAATACCCTGGTAACCCTACCCCTCACGGGTACAGAGTGGTGTGTAAGGGGAACTGGTCTTTGTGTCGCCTGGCTCTTTGATACCTGGTACTGTACGTACTCGTGTGTGTGTGGGAGTCAGCCGAAACGGTTTGGTGCGCCAAGGGCGTGTTGGGAAATGCTCAGCAATATAGATACGTAGAAAGGCTGCATCAAACTGGCTTCACAGAGAAGAACGTAGTTGACATACTGGTATCCTGGGCCGACCGTGCACGAGTGCAGACAGAGTTGGACAGGTAAAAGGTGTGTTGTCTTTATATATCTTGGAAAAGATCGGTGCTGACGACGTCGTGTCGCGATGTGTGCCTTGGTTAAACACGTTCACAGGATCTACGTCGGATTTGACGAGTTTGTGGAATATTTGACAGACTGTGCAGCTAAGATGGGAATATATCAGTTTGCTGTCCCAAATGAATGTTTAGTCACTGTTGAACGCCTTGAGACGTCTTCAGTGGTAAAGCAAAATGTGGGTAACTCTAGGCCCTAGATAGAAGGGCGGGCGAATGAGGGAGGGAATTCGAACGTGTTGTTCAAAGGGCTGAATAATACCCTCAAAACGATTAGCATTGTGAAGACATTGCTAACGACATTA